TATCAAAAGCTCCCAACGTCAGGATGCCCCTGCAACAGGCCATGTTCCCTCCATACAAGGATCTTCCAAAGGGGACGGGATGCTTCCTGGGAGTTTTTATGGATCCACGAAGCATCCTTATTCCTAGGTGGGTACTAACACAGGTTGTTAGTTTAGATTCTGAGACTTAGAATCTTGGGGAATGAGTTTCCTCTTCCAATCTAAATTGGTAAATCCAAGGTGTCACGATTTAGGTAGGCTGAATGGAAGCCCAAGAAACAATTTGGATTGTGAACATTCACATTGTGCTTGTAGTTCTGGGAGTGTTTGCATTTTGCACTTGTAAAACTCAGGTGAGATAATAAAGCCCAGGATAAAGAGCTTATCAAACAAGCTCTGGGAAGAAAGCCCGAGTCCATCAGAGCGTGTTTCATCTAAAAAGGAAAACACTGAAAACTGACTGGAGATCTAGTTTGCAAAGAACAGCTGTCAGCCAGGGCAGAAACTCGAGAGGTCTTATCTCCATCAGGAGGGGCCTGGATCTCAGGAAGGGGCACTTGGTCTATAAGATAAATGGGAGACCTGGATCTCAAATTCCCTTTATGAAAAGCCCGATGGACAAGGTACGTGTCCGTGGCAGTGGGAAGGTTTCAGCCTGACCTGGCCTGGAGGGGAGACCCTGAAGGGCTGAGCTCTAAGGTTCTGGGATGAAGTTGACAAATCCCTGGCTTTAATTTTTTTTTTTTTTTTTTTTTTTAAAAAAGGGCTTTGAAATGGAGGCCATGCAGGTAAAGAGGACCACTTGGGCCCAGGAGCCAAGAGAAGCTTCTCTGACCACAGGGGTCTCTCCATTACCCAAAATAGAAGTACAGGAGGAAAAGTACCCCCCTGCGTTCCAGAGACTATCAAGGCCAAGTTCCTGGTCTACATACTGTAGACCCAGAAGTGACTCTCAGCTACATCCTGACCTCTACACAAACGCCAGTGGTCAAATACCCCAGCCCTGAAGCAATCATTCAAACCTGCGTGCCTCCTGGACAAGGATCAGGTGGGCCACAGTGTCTGGAAAGCTCAGGAGGAGGGCACTCATGTTCAGAGCCACCAAAGTTAATTTCTTTAGGAAATTTGTGGAGCCTACCTGGCCCTGGGTTTCACATTCCGCATCTCCTTTGACTATCAAAGAGGCAGCCTCGAGCCCCTTCTCAATGGGCTCCGAGGAAATGAACAGTGGCCTACGTGCCTTCTGCACTCTCCCCAGCATCCTGTGGTCTTTCACAGGCTGATGTGTTCTCCCTAAGCTGACCGTCACCCTCATGGCTTTGGGGGCAAAGCAGAATTACTCAAGTGAAAAACCGTTGGCCATCTCTGAGAAGGAGACTGCTTCTTTTTCTTGGGATCTGGTAGGCGTCTCCCGTTCCATGACCCTCCCCAGCCTGCTACACACATTTACCTTTGAATTTGATTTCCATCACCTCATGAATGTTTTCCAGGATATCTCCATTGGGCTGAAAGGTGTGGCATGGACAGTGAATGCTGATTTCCAGACCCAAGTTGGACTCTGTAAAATAAGACATGGCACTGGTGAGAAAGCACTTTGCATCATGGGAAGGTCTGCCCACCCCGCTGCAAGGTGGGGCCAGGGCCTCTGCTCCCACAGCACTCACAGGAACGGAGTTATAGGAAGGGTCACAGGAGACAGGAAGTCCTTCCAAAGCCCAGAGTGGAGCCCTACACACGTTTCCACATTCCAGATACTTCTGTCACACAGTGAACCACCACACAGAGGCGTAAACAGTGGGCACCACGAAGGAGAGAGGTAATAACCATCCATTTTCAAAGGATGGCATTAAAGGAAAATTGTAGCTTATCTACTCAGGGGCAAAAGGACAAGTATAGAGGAAGGAAAGAAAAAACACCACCTCAGTGGTGGGAGAGGAGATACTTAAGCTAACCTGCTGAATACAGATGAAAGGAAGTGACAGGCACAGGAAGGGACTAGGGAGTAATTGAAGAGCTACAGAGCAGAGAGACAGTGATCCAGTTCCATTCAAAGGGCCTCAGGAGGAAGCCTGGGCCACAGGATTAAAAGTCGGAGTCCATGCTAGAGGCAGTTCCCCTGCACACGGGATGCAGAGTCAGTCCAAATGGAAGGTGCCAGCTTTTCGACTGGAGCTGCGGTTGCGGGTGTAGAGGAAGTGGTAGATTCCAGAGGAGATAAGATGAAAGTCCTGGTCACACCTGGCCATATTTTCCCTATAGAACAAGGCCATCATGAGGTAAAAAAAATAACTTGGGTGTTTCTTCCTTGAAGTTCCTGGTTCCCATGATGGGAAAGTTGGGGCTGTGGATGGCTGACCAAGATGAACAGCTTGGGAAGATGGTTGTGAAATTAGAGAACAAACCAGAGGCAGTGACAGTGGGCCACGGCCAAAGATCCAGATGACGGGTCTCAGAGAGAATGAGCATGAGGCAGCCCAGAGGTGCCAGAGTTTGGTGACAGACTTTCTAGCACTAGGCCAACTCTGGTTCTTTCCTCAGGTTGGTTGTGGGATCATCTCATCTGTTTGGGCAACCAGAATCAAGGAAACAGGGCAGTTAGTAAGTGAGGATGATGGAGTGGAAGGAAAAATAGAAGTGAATGGAAAATCCGAATAGGGCACGGGCTGCAGCTCAGTGGTAGAGCATTTGCCTACCACTGAGCCTGTGTGAGGCCCTGGGTTCAATCCTCAGTATCACAAAAGAAAAACAAAAAGTTTGAATGATCAAGTAGTTTTGTGCAGGGAAAATGAGGTATGATCTAGCATCGCATCCATCTGGGTGAGTGGGACTCAATTAGGGATGCTCTGTTGCACCTGGGTAGCAGCCAGTTGTTGCCAGGTGTAGGAAAGATCCTGAGGAATGGGCCCTTCTGGGTTCAGGGTTAGCATCTCAGTGAGCTGATTGATTTACTGCGCCCTGAGTCCACCCTAGTCCTGTGTGAGCATCTGGCCTTGGGGCCAACTTGGGATCTTCCTGAAGTCTGTGTCAGCAGGGGAAACCCTGGAGTTTAGTGTGGCCTCGCATCCTTCTCATGGGCAGAATGGTACAAGCTCAGTAACTGGCCGGCTTTCTGTGGACCTGGGCATCCTAGACCTATAGGTAAAAAAAAAAAAAAAAAAGACCATTTCTCCTATAAACTCCAGAGCACAGCTAGAATTGTTCTACTCCAAGTCAGGGCTACCTCTGGGACACACTGATACCTGCTAAGTTTGAAGAAAATTAGCTTAGAGTGGTATTATAATTTGGATGTGAGGTGTCCCCAAAAAACTCACATGTGAGATGATGCAAGAAGGTTTGGAGCAGAAATGATTGGGCTGTTGGAGTCTTAACCTAATCAGTGAATTGATCCCTGATGGGATTAACTGAGTGGTGAATGGAGGCAAGTGGGGTGTGGCTGGAGGATGTAGTTCATTGGGGGTGTGACCAAGGGGGATATATTTTGTATCAGGGGAGTGGAGTCTGTCTCTCTGCCTTCTGATCACCATATGAGCTGCTTCCCTCTGTCACACTCTTCTGCCATGATGGGCTGCCTCACCAGGAGCCCTGAGGAATGGAGCCAGCCTTCTATGGACTAAAATCGCTGAAACCGAGAGCCCTCAAATAAACTTTTCCTCCTTTAAAATTGTTTCAGTCAGATCCTTTAGTGACAGCAGCAAAATACCTGACTAAAGCAAGTGGAGAGGCAGACCCACTCAGGCAAGGAGCAGAGAGAAACTCAGCAAGAGAGGAAGTGACTACAGAGGGAAGCAAAGGAGTGTCCTCTCCCTGGAAGAGGAGGCTGGAGGAGTTAAAATTTGCCACCTATCAATCCACGTACTTCCTGCTCGAGGTGGTCCAAGGTGGCCTGGGTGAGTGCTACAATTCTGTAAGTTATGAAGCCCATGTGCACACAGATGTGTGGGGGACAGTCGGGGTTGGGGGACAGGTGGTCAGCACAAGACAGTGGCTTGGCTTGGCCAACAGGCTCTATCTAGGTAAAGGGCTCAGAGCAGATAACCACCACCGCCATTTTTTAACATTACACATATATGAAACACTGCTCTAAGACTATACAAGCATTGACTCATTTTATCTCTATAATAGTCCTGATAATCCTAGGAAGAGAAATTATGTTCCTCATTGTACAGATAAGGATACCAAGGCTTAAGGAAATTCAATAGCTTGCCCAAAGTATCCAACCGTAGGTGGTAGTTCCAGGTTTCAAACACAGCCTGAGTGTTCTGATGCCCAGATCCCACACTCCTAATTGCTAGAGACAGGAAGGGAGAAAAGCAGGCAGCAGAGAGCACAGAGGAACGTGCCCACACATTCACCGAGATGCCAAATGACTGTGCTTGTTGGTGTCCCACCTGTCCTGAGCCATGATGCTGAGAGTGCTCCCTGCCCAGCCTCCTAGGGGCAGCCTGGCTCCGATACTGAGAAGCTGCAGATTATATGAGTAACAACCCAGGAAATGAGGACCTGGGCCCTGCCTGCATCCTGGATTGGGCTCCAACCAGTTCTGGGACCCAGAACACAGTCTGGACAGCTGGTAGGCTCTCAGATGCTTGCCAAATGAATCCGAAGCCACAGGTGTGACCCAGTTCCTCATCAATGCATACTACCAACTGTTTCCAACCATTTGCAGCCTGGTTTGGGGCCATGAACTCTGAAGAGATTCATGATCTCCAAATAAGCAAAACCCTCTGCTGATTCCCCTGTGGGAGGAGAGGGCTGGGCAGATTCTGCCTAAGTAGGAACTGAAGGTTCTAATGAAGAACTAACCTCAGAATTGGCAGCAGTGGAGTGGTGGGTGGGGGACCCATAGGTTTTATTATGAAATGATCTTTTCTGATGTCTCACAGAAGATGGAAATCATTCTCAATGCACACTTCTCATTGAATTCTGCAGCTGTGAAAATAAGAACTCCAAGTGCCCAGGGCTTCAAAGAAATCCAGGTGGCGCAGACCGAGATCAGACAAGGAGGCTAAGAGATTTAATTTCCCCAGCCCCTCCTTTTTGTAGCCAAGCAGGCTCTGGGCTCTGAGCAGAGCGCTGTCTGAGTCAGAATTCCCAACAGTGAGGACTGCAGTCAGCAGAGCACGTGGGTGCTTCCAGGCCTTGCCTTCATGCTTGGTAGGAGGGACAGGGACAAATCTCCAACCCACCATCTGCTAATTCAGCCACCAAAACAAGGCCCCTTAGATGGAGGCTTGCCAACTCAGATGCCTGCAAAGCCCAGGCAGGTCACACGAGGAAGCCAGTAGATGGTGTGGAGTAGAACCGCCAGCCTCACTGTTGGGGAACACGAGTGTGGGGACAGAAGGATGCACACCCCATCCCCAGGGGAGGCCACAACTCATCTCTGGTGGATTTTTACAAGGAAGACTTTCAATTTTTCAAGAAAAGGCAGAAAGGAATGCTTTATATGAAATCTCCTAACTTAAAACTTAAAACAATATGGTGGCCACGCAGTTTTAGACCTCTGCCTTTGAGCTTTAATCCCTAGATTCCCAAAACACCACAGGCACAGGAGGACCCACCTGTCTCAGGGACTCTGGCCATCAACATGTGGATTGTGGCTTTATAGCAGCTAAGAATAGTGGGAAACTCACCAGAAGAGGGAGAGAAGGAGCATATGGGACTGCCACATGTGACCTCTGCCCACTGAACAGTCAAACCAAGAGTACCAGCCAAGTCAGGGGAGAACACAGCAGGTGTCAAGAGACACGTGAGTTCTAATCTAGGCTGGATGACCTTGATCGAATTACTTCACTTCTCTGGGCTCACTTTCCTTATTGGACACAATAAAAGCTTGTAAAACATGTTGAAAACCATGAAGTTCTCTCAAATACGTTCGATCCTTCAAACATCTCTGTGAGGCCAGGTGTGAGAGTGTAAGCCTGTAATCCCAACGGCTTGGAAGGCCAAGGCAGGAGGATAGAGAGTTCAAAGCCAGCCTCAGCAATTTAGCGAGACCCAAAGCAACTTAGTGTGACCCTGACTCAAAATAAAACAAAAGGGCTGAGGATGTGGCTCAATGATTAACCACCCCTGGATTCAATCCCTGGTATCAAAAAACAAACATCTCCGTGAGGCATGCAGGGAAGGAGACGGTGAGTGGGTAAGAGATTTGGGACATGTGAGGTTTGATATACCTGTTGGATGGTGCTGGATGATGTGTCCCCAACCAACATTTCCACAGAGAGTTTTGACTCCCAGGCCTTTCAAACTTAATTGGCCAAAACACAACTCGCCCCCAAACCTGCTCTTCTTCCAATCCAATTCCTATTCCAATCCGTGATAGCTCAGTCCAAAACTCTAGACGTCAAATGCAACTGCTCCTGCGTCCTCATAGCCTGCCCCATTGGCTCTATCTTCAAAATATGGAACAAATTCATACAATTTCCACTCCTCCTGCCCCAATCTAGGTCCCTGTTGTCCTCATGTGAGTTGCTGCAATGTCCCTAACTGGTTTTCCTGCTTCTTCCCTTGACCTCATGAAAACCAGAAGGATCTTTAAAAGGGTGAGTAAATCACCTCACCCATATCTCCAGCTCTGCTTCTAGCATTTCATCACACTTGGAATAAGTCCTAAAGCTTACCATGGCCCGACAGGTCCTAAATCACAGGGCCCTAGCTCACTGTGCTCTGGGACACCAGTCTGTCACTGCTGCTGGAACAAATCAAGCTGGTTTCCTCCTAAGGGCTGGGGCTTCCCTGTCTCCTTTACTTGATACTTCCTTGATCCTGACCCTGTGACCCCTCAGATCTCACTGTAGGAACTCCTTTTTCACTGGGACCTTCCCTGAGCAGCCGCTGTAGGACCCACTGGGCCATGATCACATGGCACTCTGTCTGAAGCTCTTACTCATCCATAGGCTTGCTTATTGATGACATGTCTCTCCCACCAGAATGAAAGCCCCCTAAGATCTGGGACCCACCTGTCTCGTTCACTGAGGAACCCCCAGGACCTGCCATAGAGGTACAGTAGATAATCGGTGGCTATGCAGAGAATCTGTGCAAATCTAGGCTTTGAGCCCAGATCTGTGGCTCCCCTAGTTCTGTCTTCTTCCCTCTTGTGACAGATGAAGGGAACAGAGGTTATTCCTGAGATGCTCATCCTAAGGTTCTACCCACCTCTTCGCAACAGCCACTCGCGCACAGTGTCCGTGACATCAAAAGACAGCCACTCCGCAGTGCCCCTGGTGGGCAGGTTTTTGCCTCCGATGTAGCGTTGTTTGGCGATGTGCTCATCTGGTCGAAGTATCTACAGGGCAGAGAACAGAGTCAGTACCTGAGGCCAGGACACAGTGTCATAGGAGAGGTCACAAGACAGGTGAGAAAGCAAAAATTTCAGAGTGCCATGTCCTTGGAGCACCTTAGGGAGTTCTGTCCTCTTAATGACCGACAGACATGGAAATTAAGGGTCAGAGGAGCCAGGATTCAGACCCAGACCTGCTGAACTCTGAGCCCTGGTGGAAGCAGAACACGGTAGAGGCACTGACTCTGGTCGGTGGTTCTGTCCTGGGAGGGTACCTGGAAGAGTTCGATCCTCTGCTCAGTGCGCTTGGAGCTGGGATTAGGCACCCGCAAGACCCGGAATTCTGCCCGGAAAAGATTGGTTCCATTTTTCTCCACTGAGGACACGTTGAAGCGGAAAACCTTGGAGGTAATTCCTTTGGGGCAGACGGCCAACTCGTCTAGGGGATAAAGCAACGGGGAGAAGCACAGCATGAGTGACACCTGTGGGAACAGTGCACTGCCAGCAGATGTGGCAAGTGGCCACAGTCCCACCTGTGACCTCCACAGAGGTCTGAGACCTGAGACCTGAAAGTGGAGATAGGAGGAAGAATCTTGATGACCCTCGAGTCACACAGTCCTGAGAGAGGAGCAGGGAGACCTCAGAGACCCTGGACCTGGCACCAAGTCTGGATGGCGAAACACAACCGCCCCTCCCCCCACTGCCTGGATATCTACATCTGCTAAGCTCTCAGCCAGACTTGCCTGCTCTTTTAGAAAATGCAGATTCTCAAAAGATAGCAGTCCCCCCCCCCACCCCAAGTGGCTTAGCTCATGGACTCATTTGTGAGTTTGGGGCATTAATTCACTTCCTGAACACTGGAGAGCAATGCGACATGCCAAACCCTGTAGATGCTAACACGGGAAAGCAAAGAACAAATGGATGCAGCCACTGCCCCCCAGGGAATTAATATCCAAGGGAGGTCACTGACACATGAACCCAAATTACAGGACCAGAGAGAAGGGGCCTTTGGAAATGCCAAGGAGAGGCTGCAGGGGATGGGAGGAGGAAGAGAGCAGGGGACACTTTGGGGAAGAAATGACAGGAATCTGAGCCCTGCAGGAACAGCAGAGCATAAGGATGGGAAGGAAAGAGACCTCACATGGAGGGAGGGACGCTGGAGCAGAGACAGGGAGCAAAGCAAACCCAGGAGAGGAGAAGGGACCCAAAGCATCCAGGCTGCAGCTGATAAGAGGGTCAAGACAGCAGAGTGCGTGCTGTCTGTAGGGAGACCCACGTGTCACACCTAGAGGCTGGGTTGTTTCCCAATAATAGTAGGGAGAAGTGGCAGAGTTAATGCTGAATAACACAACTACAGAATCAGCACCATGGTCTCCACCTAATGAAGCAGGGTCTGAATGGCAAAGAGACCATCTTGGTCCTGGCAGAAACACAAGTTTCTTTGAACAGGGGTCAGCTGCTATTGGCTCCTTTCTCTTTAAGGGTCTCTGACGGCACGTGCCATGCCAGCCTCTGTCACCCTGCTGACTTCTTCACCCCTATCCACCAGACAGAAGGCAGCAGATGCTCTCTCCCACCCTTCAGAGCCAGATCTTTATCAGAGCTGACCCAGACACAGAGAGAAAGCCCCGTCTCTCCTCTACTGCAGCGCACTTGACAACCTCAGGATCTGAGCAGCATTGACACCCACAGAAAAAGTTCACAACTGGTAACAACAGCCAGAACTTGACATTCAAGCTCCTGGACCCAGATTCCACACATAATGGACATGGCTGGAATGAGATCATAATCACCCCGAGGGGTGGTTTAGGAAGTCACGGACAAGGCGGGACAGATCAGAGTCTGGAAACAAGCAAATGTGCTACTGATCTTTAGGAAAGGATGAGTGAGTGTTTCTGGAAATTGCCATCTGGTGGGGCTGACACTGGTTCTTAGAAAATGAACGGAACAGATGTGAGGAGAACAAATGTGTGAATGCCAGCTAATGAATCCCTGATTAATAAGTGGCCTTGAAAGAACAAATACTGCCAGCTATTCCCTAAACCATCTCAGCAAGAACCAAAGACGGGAATCTGGGTTAGCAATCTTTTTTTTCTTTTGGTGCTAGAGATGGAACCTAGGGCCTCACACTTGCTGAGCACACACTCTACCACTGAGTTGCACCTCCAGCCCCAGGGAGGGCAATTTAATGTTTAAGTCCACAGGTTTATAACTCGGGACATGGATAAGCTACTGGGTCTGCTGACCCTCTCAAGGACCGACAGAGTTGGGTCTTGAAGGAGCTGTCATCAGTCTGGCTTCAGTTTTAACAGCAGCTCCAGTACTGTCTGCAAGAGAGAATAAAGGGCAAGTCAGGGCACTGCTCACCTTGCTCTCAAGACGAGAAGGGAGTGGAAATAGCACCTGCCAGGGAGGAGAGTCAGAGCAGGGTCACACAGTGGGAAGTCAGAAGATGAGGAAGGGGGCACGGCATTAAGAGAGTTCTCAGGACACCCTAGTGACCACCCCTCCTTGATTTCTTCCTGCCCATCAATCATACATCTGTACCCAAGATGACTTTTCTTTCTGAGAATGTGAAGGAGGTTTCAAGAGGTAGGAAGGGTCTTTTTCTATCACTGTTTCCAACAGGATTAGAAAGGACATTAGAAATCATCCTGTGTGACCCTCTTAGGATGAAGAAATGAATATCCAGAACAGTCTTGGTTAGAGTCACACATGGATTAACTGATATGAGTGAACTGGCACTAGTAAGCAAAGCTCAGACACAATCATTGGTGATTAAAAAACAGGATTACCTGGGAGAGAAAAGAAAAATGTAAGTGTGGTCTTGACAAACACATCTGCCGAATAATGATTTAAACAATTTGTGGAATGCATGAGCATAAGGAAATAAGCAAAATAAATAAGTGTAAATAACACCACCATACATTTTATAGAGCTCTCATGAACTCATACGACCCTGTAACAACCCTTGAGAATAAAGAGAGTATATAAAATTTCTCATTCTACAAATGAGAAAAGTGAACATCAGAAAAGTTAAACGACTCCCAATGTCACTCCATTAGCAGGCGGCAGAAGTGGGACTGGAACCCAGGTCTTCTGTCCACTCCCCAGTTACTGAAGCAGAGACTCTGGAACTTAGAGGGGACCTGGGAGATCATCCAGTGAAGAGCTAATATCATCAACAAAATGTGGCAGAATTCCTTGAAATGGGCCTAGAGTACCAGCCTGTGCCCCAGATGAGGGCCAATGGCCAGTCCATTTTGTGATTCTTAAGCCATACTTTCCACGGAACATGAGCATTCTGAAGAGCCGGACTAGGGGAGTCTATGTTTACAAATTAAGATATGACCAACTTTTTCCATTGCACCAAGAAAAATAGATATGCATGGATGCCACTTTCTCTGTTTTGCTTTAGCAGGGCAAGTAAAGAATAAGCAAGCAAAAAACATCAGGTGGGGTATCCACTTTTACTTAACTGCCTTTAAAAATGTTTACAGACACCTGGGCCGCTAGGTGTGCCTCTGCCTGTGTACATCACTCCTGCTGGTCCAGTGAAGGCCCGGGTATGTTCACCCGGGTACGTCGGAGTGGCCGTGCTTCTCCTCTGTCTCTGCAGCAGAACCACCTGGAGAGCTTTAAAACCAGGTGGAGTCTGGGCTCGCTGCCCAGCAGTTCTGTCTATACAGGGTGAATCCACAGCATTTTAAAAAATGTTCTCCAGATGATTGTAAATGTGTAGCCAGGATGGAGAACCACAGTTTATAGTTTTCTGCTAAGGATGCCATGGCTTCAGATGTTCTGGAAGTCTGAGAAACCACTGGATTAATGGTTTTGAAGCTCTAAATGGATTAACCTTTAAATGAATTAGAAGTGTTGTTTAGCCAATGTACCATGTTTAAATTTTTTGAATTAGAAGCCCATAAACATTTTAAGCCCATGTAAAAAGTTGAGAGATTTCACAGAAAGATCCAGATTTTCTGCTCTTCTGGAAAGTGGTAAGATGGAGGCAAGCTGGACCCACATTCCTGAGTGTAAAAATCAGCAGGAGCTGAGCAGTGGCTGCTTCTTTCAACAGGACACTGGGGAGCCCAGGTCCCTCCCTCCCCTGGCCACAGCTACCTTATCCATATCCCTGAGGCTAAGTGTCCTGTGCATTTTGTCACAGTGCCTAGATTACAATCTGGATTTTTCTTCCAGATTGTGTGCATTACCTGCCTCTCGGTAGGAACTTACATTTGCACCCACTCCAAAGAAAAGACTCTGTCTTCAGCTCAATGAAAATACTGATTCCTCAGGATCCATATCCCCCAGAGATTGGTTCTGTAAGAGTGAGGTGGGACCTGGGAGTCCACATTCACCCGCCTCAGGGCCACCCTTGAATAACCATGCACAGAGCATGGGCACCTAGGGCCCATGAGTTCTTTCAACATGAAATGCCTTCTAATTTCCAAAAGATAGTTTCCAAAATCTATAGTTAGCAGCCAGAAAAGAAAGGCTAAAATACTGCATTTTCTCTTTGCTCAGGAATTTTGGGTTTACTGGCTGTCTTCACACTGCCCTTGGCTTAGAACAAGAGTTTCCCCCTGGACACAGAGAATTCTAAGCTAGAAGATAAAAACCTATGCTGATGATATCTTGTAAGAAGGACCACAAAGGAACTGGGAAGGCTGCATCCTCCCCTCCCCCACCCACCCAAAGTGGATCAGAACAAGCCCCTGCTCACTTTCCTTAGCAAAATCCTGAAGAATTAGAAAAGGATTATGAAGCCTTGCCCATACATCCCAGCAGAGACTCAGGCAAATCACCCAGATATAATTATAAAATTCTATCAGGTGAAAGGGAGTTTAGAAATCAACTGCAGCATTACAGATGGGGAAACTGAGGCTTAGAGAAACAACTCTCACATGGCTTCAGAATTAATCTTCTTGAGACTCTTCATTAAGTAAAGGAAACCGTTTTATTGCATTTGGGAGAACATTTGTAACAGTCTGAGTCTCCTGGAAAATCCAGTTGTCTTTGTGCAATCTGCCAGTTACTAAGGCAATATCTCCTGTCCCCTTCTGCTTGGGCTAATGTGGGATTCGTTTGTGTTATAAATCAAAGTTTCACTGGAGCCTAAAGGTTAAAGGTGGACATAAAATGTATCTTTCACACGTACATTTGGGCTTAACAGCACGTGTTGTGTGTGCAGCACTTCTAGGTTAGAGGCCCTGCTCTTTGTGCATAGATGGCTTAGCTGGGCCATGTCTCTGTCTCCTCATCTACAAAGTTGGAGATTAGGGCATCTGGGACAGGGCAGAGGCAGAGGACCAGCCCTCCTCTCCATTCTTACCTTGGTGCCCCTTCTCTGTACCACTGAAAAGTATTCTTTCTTTCACTTCCCTCTCTGGAAACCTCTTTCCCCTTGCCCCAGATCCAATTGTCACTACCCTCCAAGTGCCCACCCACTACATAAGGGGGTGGCTGGGAGTGACAAAACATAGAAGAGAATGCCATCTTATTACCCTGTCCCCCAGTAGAAGCTCTGGCATGGGGGCCCTGCCAGTGCCATCCCACAGACCCAGAGCCACCCCTGTCTGCCCTCCAGAGTTAAGAACAGCCTTTCCCCACCCCCTGCACCTCTGATGATGCCTCCCTCTGGCTCGGCATCTGGCGGGCATTTGCATCTGCCAATTGCCTTCTTCATAATTAGTGGGCCTGTGCATCCAGGGCAGGCTCAACACCTGATCAGCTGCAAAGCTGGCCCCAGGCCTGCATCTGCTCAGCCTCTGGGTCACCTCCCACAGCTGCAGAGAGTCTGGGGCCTGTTTCCTATTTGCACCTGCAAGCCTCCATGGCCTGCCTATGTCCCACTGGGCACTGGCCCTTCCTCAGCACCCCAACAGCACCCTGCTCACTGTGCCGAGGCAGCCCAAGCTTCTGCTCTGCTGCCCGCGGCCACCCCCATCTGCAGCAGTGGTAAAGGTTGGTGACGCAGCCTGGAAGCTGCCCAGCACTTGTAGGGCCCTGTCCTGGCTTTTCCTAAGGCTCTGTGATGCTTGCACAATGCATGCTGTTAAGTACCAATGTACATGTAAAATACACATTTTAAGGACACCTTTGTGCCCTTGAATCTCGGCACAAAATTGATGTACATGCACACCTGTGTAGCCTTGCAACCATCTGGCCCATTATTGGTCCAGGCTGGGTGGGCCCTTATGACTCAGAATCCTTCCTCCCTTGGACTCTTCCTCCCGACCAGGCCCATGAAGGTGTGAGTCCTTCCACTTGTCCTGGATTCTCCTCAGACTTTTCCTGCTGGCCTCAGATTTCCACGCTCCTCTGATGTTCGTGGCCACTAGGACCTGCCTTGTGTGACCAGGGAGCAGCCATCCAGCTGCTGGGAGCCTTTGGGACTGCAGGCCCCTGGCAGACCCACAGCCAGCCCCACCCAGAGGACCCTGGGCAGGGAGCTCTGGTTCGGCCTCAGCCTCAGCCTCCACCCCCCAATCACAGCCACATCCTAAGGAAGGGCGCTTCAGGCAGCCAGAGGAAACTGCAGAGGGAACCCCTCGCCAGTAACCACAGGCTCCTCCGCCTGCTGTGGGCCAGCTGGGGATGGGGCCTTCTGCACCTTCATTCAGAGCCGGTCCACCCATGGCACCCTCTCCCGTTCCTTCTCTCCAGACAGGTTCCTTTCCACCCCTGCTATTCACTCCATGACGGCCCTCCCGGGAGGTCTCCATACCATCCTCCCATCCCCACTCTGGGGACTGCCCACTTCCCAGGTGGGCCAGGGCCCAGGTAGCCAGGGCAGCGAGGACACCTGCTGGTAGGAAAAGCAAACAGAGCTGCTCCCCGAGTCTGGCCGAGAGTGGCTCACATTCCTCTTTCCTGGGCTGTCAGTTTCTCAACATCTGCCAAATTTCTTTCTTGTATTGAGGTTTTTTAAATCCCCGTTCAGTAAACACACATGACTTCCACACGTGTACAAACACACACAGGCGTCTCACCCAGAAGCTTCCCAGCTCCTCCGCACAGACAGGAGCCTCTGGGAAGACACACTCCCAGACACACGGCCTCACAGTCACCCCCCAAGCTCCCCCGTGACACGCAGACCCAGAGGCCCACCAGCCCTCCTCCACACACCCAGAGCCATGACCCTGCTGTCCCGTATCCACCGGCCCAGAAGGCCTGCTCTCCACACATGAATCTGCCCACTGTACAGCAGGAGAGTCTGCATTGCCCTGAAGTCCAAGTTCACGTGAACATATGTGCAAAGCCCCCTCCCAGTTCACATGGGTCACATGTGTGAGGTAGACCAAAGGCCCAGGCAATAAGAAGCTGTCTCTTGCCTGGCCTTCCACAAGCTTGACAGACATTCATTTGGAGCAGGTACTCTGCTTCCCAAGAGCTGGAAAAACTGAAATGGAGACGTGTCACAATGAGCTGTGAAAAGCAGGGAGAAGGCTGAGGTGCTCAGGCTCTTGAAATCATAAGGGCTCTGGCTGGATACAGCGAGCCGGCCTGCCCCTCAATGGCACCCATATGCTTACCATTACCCATATGGTCACATGCGTGAGAACACATATGTTTCCCTGGGCGGCACGATGTAATTCCAAATTAAAATCACATCATAAGGATGTGATGTGAGTTCAGCAAACTGCTTAGCTCCAGAGCTCCTGACCTCCCAGAAGGGTTCGGCTCTTACCAGAATGGCTGTTCCCTTCCCTACCCACCTTCCCAGCCCCACCTGCACATCACATCTCCTAAGGCTGAGGCTGGTGAACCCCAGGGCATCCTGCTGTGTGACCACTGCAAGGCCCCCTCCGTGGGGCTCCCTACTCCAGTTCATCCCCTCCACAGCAGACACCCAGCAAGCATTTGGACTTACTGTGCTCCGCCAGCCCCTGGATCATGTCGAATTTATGGATCTCTTTAGCATAGTATTCCGACTCGGTGTTTTCCTGAGTACAGCCTTCCTCCCTCTCCCCCTGCATCTCCTCCAGCAGCTCCCGGGTGCTGTTGTAAAGGGCCAGGACCTGGTAGGGGACGTGGGTCATCACCGATGGCTCAGGGGGGCTGGTGAGCCTGAGCTTGCTCAAGATCTGTCCCCTAATGGCTTCCACCCTCTTCTTCTTGATGTGGCCAAAGTCCAAGGTGGTGCAAGTGGACAGAGAGAGGCTGACCGTGGCAAAGTTCAGCAGGGCCAGGACCACCAGAGCCCTTTGCAAGTGCATCTTCATGTGCGAGCTGGGAAGAGAGGCCAGGGGGGGCGGCGAGGCCTGGCAAGGAGGAGACCCCAGCAGACGTGCAGAAAGAGGGAGGAAAACCAGGCGGCTTCCCCAGATCCCAAAGACTGAGGCTTGGCAAGAGGGTGCATGAACTCACTGCACTGCAAGAGCTTCAGGACTTCCAGGAAGCGCTGGCAACCCTGAGGACGAAGAAGCGGACTGTGGGCCTTGTAGCGCTGCGATTCTTGTCCATGTGTCTAAACAGGTTTTGCTGGGCTCTGACTCCCAGCAGGCCAGGTGGAGGGCAAGCAGAGGGCTGGGAGGGGTGGCAAGGCAGCTGGGAGTGGGAAGGGAGCTGGAGTTTTTCCTTAGGTAAAAATAAATAGAGCGGATATCTGATATTGCCAAACGCTGCTTGGCGATGGGGAGAAAGTGGGTATTTTAAAGAAGGCACAGAAGGACCATGGCTGGGCCCCCAAATCAAAATCCTCACCTTGCCCTGAGGGAGAACAAGAAAAGAGAATGGAAAAGAAAAGAAAAAAAATATATTTTAAAAAATACCCAAAAGTCAGATCAGCAGTGAGTAGGTGGGAAGAGGCAGGGCGCACAGTTGCTGGCCCGGCTAAAGGTGGGGGAGGACAGGACACACTTGTCTCTCGGGCACTCCATTCATGCTTTCCCTTTTGTTTACACTTCCTCAGGGGCTTTCTAAATGACTTTGTTCACGCTGCCTCTTGTCTTCATTGGCTGGCATGTGGGATATGTGCCACTGGAAGGCAGGACGGACAGACCTCTGGAGAACAGCCCCAGTAATCCACTTGGACGCCCACGGTCACCAGCACCTCAGTTTGTCTTCTCCCTCGGCCATGGCTTCTGTCCCCTGCTTCTCTTTAAAAAAATCAAAAGGAAAAGGAAAAGAAAATAGAAGACAGTTCACTGCAGCTGGCTCCGGAAAGCGGTCATTCCTTGCTTTGCACGCTCCTTCCCTTACCACTGGCCTCTCTCTCGCTCATTCCCTTGGACTTGACTCTCTGCTTCCTTCCCTTTCTCTCTCTCCTTCTCTCTCTTCTTCTTCTTCTCTCTCTCTCTCCCTCTCGCTCCTCTCCCTCTCTCTCTCACACACACATGCACACACACTGCTTTCTCTATTTCTCTCTGCTGAAATTTTATACCTCCCTCCCATGACGTCTCGGGGCTGGGGTGGGGGAGGGAGGGAGGGACCAGCGCACGCAGCCTCTTCTGCTGCACGATTTTAATGTTTTAAACAGGCACAGGAAAAGCCGAGCCCATTTGAAAAATACTTTGCGAGTCCTCTCTTCGACGTGGTAACTGAACTTTTTTTCCCCTCTTGGAGTCACTCCTGCAACACGTTGGCTGTTTTTCTGGAAAGTTACTCCGCCGAGCCCCCTCCCTCTCTCCCCCAGCCCCTGCGCGCTCTGGCCAGCTGTCAGTCGCTGCTCTCCTCCGCCCGTCTCTCTCCCTCGCGGTCCCCCGTGCCCGGCTGCCCCTGGGCTGGTGGACACCCGGCAGGGGCCGCAGGGGGTGCGGGACCGGGCAGGGCGGCCGTGCCACCCTCGGTCGGGGTGATGCTCGACCTGCGAGCGGGGCTGGAGGGGGGCCTGGGCTCTGCGGCGATCCTGGCCGAGATTCCTCATTGACAAGCCTGGAGTCGCGGCCGGCTGAAGCTTGGAGACTCTCCAGGGGCATGGAAAAATGGTGGCGTTTTCCGGAAGACCGAGGGTGCCCTCTGGCGAGGCCTGGCCGCCAGTGAAGGAGGCTCGGCGGGCCCGGAACCGGCCAGGCGGGAGGGCCGGGGCGGGGGCGGGAGAAGGGGCCGCCGGAGAGGGCGAGAAAAACAAGCCTGGGCGCCCTGGGGATCGCCTCCCTCTCGGCCCCACGTGCGTACAAGTGCACCTCTCCCTGCCGGAGCCGCGGCTCCCGAGCAGCTCCGCGCCGCAATGTCCTCCAGATGTTCGCAGCCTCCCTCCCCGCCGAGGGTTCCGCAGGGAGCTGCGCCAGCGAGCGCGAAGTCAGCAATTGGCCCGAGCCCATTTCCCAGATGGGTGAGGGGAAGCTTGCGCTCCGCTTTCGTGGCTCTTTTCAGCCTGGAGCTTCTGGTTCTGTTCCCACGAGTAGCTTAGGGAGTGCAAGACACATCCTTTCCCTCCCCAACCCAGGACTTCTGATCACTTTCCTGAGAATGAGTGCTGCCCCTCTCCCACCTCTCCCTCCAGCCTTCTTGGACCCTTCCTGAGAAGTCTGGTTCCTAGATCACTAATTCAAGGGATGTTAATGCATCCCCAGGACAGTGGCGGATCGTTTAATAGTTGAGGAAACTGAGGCACAGAGAGATTTTTTTTTTTAAGGTCACTCTGCTTGTGAGTAATGGAGGTAATATTTAGTGGATAGGCATGATTTTCATTTGCATTACCAATAGGGAAAGCTAGGTGCAGACGCCTTAAAGATTAGCTCACTAGGGTCATATAGCTCTTAGGTGTCAACTCTAGGATTTAGATTCATTGTTAGAATCTGGGAACCTAATCTTTCCACTGCACTGCCTCTGGAATTTGAAAAAATAGTTCTGATGTTTACAATAAGCCAGGCACTGTCCTGTGACTATTTCAATGAGAAAAAAAAAAACATAAAACAAATTCTTGCTCTCAGGAAGCTTATATTTTAGAGGCAGGAGTGGGGCAGTGGGGAGACCACAAGCTAAATCAATATGTAAATTATGTACTCAGATGAAAGATAAGTGCCACACCAAAAAAATAAAGCAAGGAAGATAAGGAGTACCTAAGTTGGGGAATGTTGCAATTTAAAATAGGGTGATGAGGGAAGGCCTTACTAGGCCTTTGAGCTAATTCTTACAGATAGAAGAGAAAATTATTGAAGTTATACCTTAATGGGGTATAGAGATTCCAACACTACCAAGTTGGTCTCTAGAGATAGGGCTCTGGCACCTGTTTTTCTAAACACCCCTCTCATTAGATTCAGTTGCTCATCAAGTTTTGAAATTTCTTATAATAGGGCTTCTCTCTACTCAGGGTGAGTGCTGTTCCTCTTTTATTTCCAGGGAGTTGGGGAGTTGGGCATGAAGTTCTATAGACTGACTACAAGGTGGTGGAGGGATAGCTGTGAGATGACGAGAAATGGACAGATCCAAAGATGAACCTCTTCTTCCTCATATGGTGCCAAGAAAGAAGGGAACAAGTGATTCATTGGCAGATATCTCAGGCTGTCTTAGATTTTTGGCACCTTATGTTGCTTCAGATTAAAATCTTACAGAATATCCTCGCCAAGAAGCAGAATAAGTAAGTAAAGGATCTTAGAAGCCCTCTCATTACAAGTGAGGAAACTGAGGTCCAGGAGGGCTCTGCCCTGACTGCATAGTTATTAGCAGAGCTTGGATGAGAACTTGACTCTTCTGACGTCCTTGCCAGTGTTCTTGCCATTACTAGGCATGCTAACTCATAATTCTACCCAGTAATCATGTGAAATGAATGCGTGAATCTATTAATTTGCTGGATATTTAAGAAATGTTCACAATTCAGTTTTAAGGATGCTACTCCCATTTCCAAGTCCTCCTTTTTTTAAGGACAAAGCCATCCAGGCCTTACTCCCATACTGGGGATATTGCTTGTTTTTAGAGCCACGGGCCCATCTTCAGTGAATCTCAGGGAACAGTGCCAGGGACCTGGCCAGTAGTGTTGATTTGGGGATCTTTTATGAAGTGTGAGTTAGTGAAGACTCAACTTGACTGTTGGCCTAGTACAATGTCTGGCACCCACTAGTACATGCTGGAGAAAAATACTCCTACTGTAATCTGTCTCAGCTGCTCAGCACTCAGGTTATTTTCCTCAAGTTACTTCTTTGTGCCTCAGTGTCCCTCATTGTTGAATAGAAATATTACTGCTACTTGCTTTGTGGGGTTGTTGAAATTAAATGAGATCACCCAGGTTCTTGATATTTTGGTTCAGCCTCTCCATAAACTTCTTGAAGACAGATATTATATATATTGCATTTTCTGTAATTCATTATAAATCATTTATTGCACTTGATTTCATCTGATAACTAGAAACAATACAATTTATTTTGCTTCCCACAAATGGAAGCCACTATGATTACAGGTTGTTATGCCCCTCACTTGAGCTAATAACTCTGAAGGCCCTCTGTATCTGGAAGGGATACAAATGGAAGGGATCAGAATAGTAATTACTACTTTTAACAGTAATGCTTTGCACCTACCAATGTATTTAAACAGAGTTACAAATGTAGACAGTTACTAACCACAACCCTTTTTCATTGTCTCACAGGAGCAGTCTTAGCGGAGCTTTCTTCTGTAAATCAGGCAAGGTAGGCTTAGGAAACTTTAAATTGGAGGATGGCACGAAGAATCCAGGAACAACGCGGCGGTCCCTTTAAATATTGGAAGGGCGGAGTCGTCGTCAGGGACGCGAATGGGACGCTTGGTTTCCAGGAAGTGACGTCATATGGCCGCGGAGATGGACGAGGAGCTGGACCTGGGCGAGGAGCGGCGTCGCAGCTCGGCCTTCTCTGTGAGGACCGAGGCGGGGGGCTTGGGCCAGAATTCGGCGGGTGGGGAAAAACAGCCCGGCTGGACCGGGGCCGCTGAGGCGCTGAGGCCCTGCCCGGCGCGGGCGGGACGAGTCGAGCCGCACGGGGTTGCGGCCGGGAGGAGGCGTCCAGTTCCGCCCCGCCCCCGAGGGTTGCTTTCTTTAAAATCCCCCAAATAGAAAACGGGTCCTGTCCCCGCTGGCCTCTAGGACCGTGCAGAATCTCTGCGCCCCAAGAGCGAACTCACCCGGACCGGACAGATCTGAGGGTGACGGGAGGGTCCCGGCCAGAGTCGCACTTATACCCATGCTCAGGTTTTCCTTTGGAACTTCTCACCCCAGAAGTTCTTGTGAAAGCCGCCCCGTTTTGTGCACGCAAGGGAGGAAGCCAGGGCCTTCTGTAACCCCCCTGGGGAGGCGGGCGCTACCTCACTCTTCCTGTGGGGAATCAAGACTTTATAACGTACGGGATGGTGGTGAGGGTTGCTCGGGCCCTGAAGTCAGATGGAGTATAAAGCTCTTGGTAGGTGTTTTAAAAATTAGTTAATTTCTCTGAACCTCGATAGTAAGCACTTGACATTGCAGGGCTTGGCGTGTGCTAAATTATCAGAAGATATTAGCGGCAGTTGCCTGAAGCTGTGATTTACCCATCAAAATCTAAATTTAGTGTTTTTCTTACTCCATCACAACCCCCAGCATGCTTTTAAAATTAGTCAAGATTAAAAAGATATCACTGGATGTCCTCCACCGGGCCATAGAGGAGCACTTTTCTGAGGGAGGCAAATTGGTCTGGAGTGAAGCAGCCTGCTTGACTAAGTAGAATGAATATTAGGTCACCAGGCCTTTTTGATACATGAACTTTTTATGAGGGAGGGAGTACCAGGGATTGAATTCTAGGGCACTCAACCACTGAGCCACATCCCCAGTCCTATTTTGTATTTTTATTTAGAGACAGGGTCTCACTGAGTTGCTTGGCACCTCTCCATTGCTGAGGCTGGCTTTGAACTCGCCATCCTCCTGCCTCAGCCTTCTGAGCCACTGGGATTACAGGCATGCACCACTGTGCCTGCCATGAAATATGAACTTGTTTAATACGTGGATGTGAATGTGGTTATTTCTTCATTCTTTCCATGAATGTCCGAGCCCTACCGTATCTCAGGTAATTGTCCTAGATCACAGCAGTGACTAAAACATTGTGGAACTCATGTCTTTGTGTGGGAAGATGGAACCCAGACTATATATATAAAAAACAGGTTATAAAGTGGTGTTCTATTCTATGGATTTATACAGCATCTTTAAAAAGTTCAAAATCTTAAAAATATTTTACAGTTATTAGAGAGACTATCTGTAAATAGCATTTAGAGACAAGATTATTGAATTTTTGTTTTAACACAGTCCCTGTATTTATGTAGTATGCAGTATTCAGATACCTGACACTATGACAAATGGAAGAGGGAAACCATGTCTGAAGGGATGGAATTGTCAGCCTTGAGAAGAAAGTGAGCCTGCTTACTATCAGAAAAAAAATGTTTCCATCCTCCCTGAAACCTAAACCATTGACATTACAATTTGAAGCATGAACCCTGAATAAGAATTCTGATACAGCAACTTGAAACTTGTTTCTTCATTCTTAGAACATTCTCAAACAAATCTCAGCTTGGCACAGGGAAAAGACCCAGGATTTGAAGTCAGAAGACTTTGTTCTTGGACTTATATCTGCCACTTAATCACCTTCCTGGGCCTCAGTTTCCTCATTTATAAAATGGCATCTGTCCTAGCCCCTGCCCATTTATTGTGAGAATCGAGCAAAGCCACATTAAATGAGATCTCCAAGGGCCTATATTAATAGTTTTTTTAAAATAAACAACCAAAATTATATGTATTTTAACACTCACTAGTGTGTCTCCAAGTCTTTTTGTGTTTTGGGAAGTGTTTGAGACCAGAACCTCCACCCGAGGAGGGTCTTGGGAAACACCTGCAAATGGTGCATTTGGTGGCTAAGAATTTTGAAGTGCTCTAATCTTCAAAGTTGATGTCTCGACATTCTTGCAGTAGACTTCCCTTACTGTCTGTAAATGCAAATCCATTTAGTGTTTATTTCAAAGCAAATGTTTTCTATATTTCTCTGGCATCAGTTGCCATGGAATTTAGAATTTTTTTCCAGAAGCCTATTTAATAACTATTTTCAGCTGTGATATTAGGCCTTCAGAAAATTCTGCTTAGGAACATGGAAGCCATGGCCACCCCCTCTATGACATTAAGTCATGTGACATGGGGTCTCTGCCCAGTCTACAGGCATTTCTAACTGCATTTCTTTGAATAGAAAAGTGATTTTGCTTTTGCAGTCCTCATGGCTATTAAAAGAAAACCTCATGAGAATAACCTGTGAATGTCCTGTTCCCCTATCAAGTAGAATGGATCTCAGCTGCTTTGCTTTAAGGTCAAATATTGTTCTCCACCATAACATCCTAAATCCAGTCCTTGCTTACCTCCCCAGAATTGTCATCCTCATAGTGGTTCAGATGACATTTGGCCAGCAGTGCCCTTCATCTCTCATTACAGGGGGCCAAGATGGGTCGCCGAGCTCAAAAGGATCCAGCTCAGGCTGAGAATCACTTCAGTGACAGGAATGCCTCGGTGACTCTGACCGGAGAGGTAAGTGCCAAAAGAGAGAGAGAGAGAAATGTGAAGAAATGCAAGTTATGACTTAGTGACTCCTTAATGAGCAAGGGTTCCGTATTCCACATTTCTTCTTCAGGGCCAGCCCCTCCTTCAATCTGGATATGGGAATTCCCATCCTTGACATTGGTCCCATTAGTAGCAAATGAAAAGGGAACAGTTTTCTTTAAGGCCAGACTGGTTTCTGTACATTTCTTCATAGTCTTAGTATAGAATCTTTTATGTTAGCTGAAACAAGGGACAGTGAAGTTTCAAAATGCAATAGAAATATGGGTTTTTATTTCTCCTGAATGAACACTAGTGAGGCATGCTGGTGACGAAAGGGTGATGACACAACTGGACATTACTCTCAGCGGTGACCTATACTTTGTGCAATTTTCAGGCAGGAAGAGGATCATTCAATGGACTTAGTTTCCTGGAAAATAGAATTTCTGAGTGGCCTGGGATTATGGGAAATTACCCAGCTTCTTCATGGAGGGTGGGTCACCCTGAGGAGTGGTACGTTTTAATGACCAGGCACTATTTTGGGCAGTTGGCTCATAGTCCTTTTTTTATCTTCCTCTCTTTGGCTTTCAAGAGTCAGCCCAGGGCCCTCCATTCTGTTAGCTGTCCCCTAAATTCTGCAAGTTAGGGCTCCTTCCTTTTAGTTCCATAATACCTCTTCTGGGGAAGGTCACATTCTATGTTAATTATCTTTTTATGTGTCTGTCTGTCCCACCAGACAGAGTTCCCAGATGGTAGGACCCCTGACTTCTGAGTTGTTGGATTTGTAGATACAAGGTAGGTTTACAGCAAATGAGGAACCCCTGCTGAGAAACCTAATGGGCCAGGCAGGTGCATGAGCAAAGTGTGCCAGGTACCCAGCACAGACATGCTCTACTGATATGTCAGATATGCAGGAATATTCTTCATTTTCTTAAGGAATACATTCCACTGACACCTCTAAAGGGGTAACCACTGTAAAGCTGAAGCTGGTTGATGCTATGGGGAATACAAGATCAATATTTCCAGATCTTCCAGAGTTATAAGACGTGCTGTCAGTCTAAAGTGTTACATGAAAGCAGCAAGTTTTTAGAAATTAGCAGCTGCATATGGAAATATAAAGTCACTGTGTGGGCTCTAGATTGGGCCAGAGGATTATCATTTTGTGACTTTGGCCATGATACCCCATTAAAGATGTGAGCCGGGCTGGGGATGTGGCTCAAGCGGTAGCGCACTCACCTAGCATGCGTGCGGCCCGGGTTCGATCCTCAGCACCAAATACAAACAAAGATGTTGTGCCCGCCCAAAACTAAAAAAACTAAAAAATAAATATTAAAAAAAATTTCTCTCTCTCTCTCTCTCTCTCTCTCTCAATCTCACTCTCTCTCTCACTCTCTCTCTCACTCTCACTCTCACTCTCTCTTTTAAAAAAAAAAAAAAGATGTGAGCCTCTGGAAGGCAGGGGTTGTCTCTTACCATTACACTCCTTTGTCTATCACAGAAGAGCCATGCGGTTGCCACTGCCATTGGTGAGATGGGTGAAGGCCCTAGTGTGCGGTGTATTACACCTTAGAAGCTGAGCAGAAGTGTTACAGGTGGGGGTGGGCAGATAGTGAAGCAGGGCAGGCACAGTATGGGGGATGGTGGCGCAGAGTAGGAAGCTGGTGAAAGCAGATTTGTCAGACCCTGGATCTCTGGGCAGCTTGAACTGCAGGAGTGTATGCAGCTGACCCTTCAGAGAAAAAAAGAGGAAGCAGGGGAAGGGTTGCAGGAAGCCTCTTCTTGCACAGGAGTTTAGGCGGATCCATTCTGACAGCAGATCCTTCATTTATTTATCCAACAAGTCTTCATTGAGCTTATTATATGCTGGGTATCAATTTAGGACTTTGGGTATACTTCAGGGAACAGAAGTCACAAGATTGTGCTGCAACAGAGCTTACATTCTCTCCATCATTGGCAACCAGAAAGACTAATAAAGGTGACCCTTGTCCCAGGTGGGCTCCAAGGCTGAGGTCATGGGCACTGCTCACCTACCATCTCCTTCCCTGGTTTCCCAGCTGAGAATCAGTGCACTGAGAACACAGCTTCACAGTCAGTGGCCTGAGCCCTTCAGGGTTCCAACCTTTCAGGAAAACCTACTTATTTCCCCAGAGACATTTACCTTTTTATTTTTTTTATTTTTTGACTCTGGGAGCACATGATTCAAAATCATTCTGTTTCTCATCCAGCTGGTGCCCTGAAAGCAAAATGCCAGCGGGATTCCAGGATCCCTTCTCTTCCTGGGTTAATCAAGGATTTAGGCAGCCTCCCAGGGGGCCAGATGCACTGGGCTTTGTGGGACTCTGGGGCTGTTTCTTTCTAAAATTAGATCCTAGGACTTGTGTGTGTGCCCATTTACATTCCAATTCTGAGTATACTACTTGATGTATTTATTTTTGTCCTCTCACTGGATTAATTGTCTGTGAAGATATCCATGAAAATGTAAATGTGGTACCTGGGAGCTACTAGAATGAAGTGGGAATTAGTTTCAGACAAATAGTTATTTTAAAGTGAGGTGGTGGCATTGGGAACCCTGGTGAAGGAAGCAGAGAGAACACAGGACTTGGCATCAGGAGACCAGGGCTGAGTCTGGGCACTGCTAATTGCCTGGATCTTAAACAAATCCACTAATCTCTTGAATCCTCCATTTCATTATCTGTCATGTGGTGCTAATAGTACAGCTGGGTTGATGCAGGGATTAAGCGAGACCCATGTTTAACAGCCTTTTAATAAACTGAAAAGCACTGTGTAAGCATCCATTCACTTATTAAATACATTAATGAATGAGTATTTAGATAGCTTTGCTGTTTTTATTAAAGGGCAGCAAAGAAAGAGAATGTGACCAGGGTCTCTTTAAGAGCTGATTTGGAAGTCTCTCAATGACTGTCACTCATTTAACCCTGTGTTGGTCAGCAGTGATCCATGTATTGGGCATGTAAATCACAGATCTGGCCTGAAGTCCTGGCTGGGCCACATATTAATCCCACAATGAGAAGTCTCCCTAAGCCTCAGTTTCTTCATTGGTAAAATAATAATAACATTATGTATTCGTAGGGTGGCTAGAAAGAAAAATGAGATAATATGTGGAAAGCCCCTAACAATCTGACATGGAAGTGCTCAGAATGATGCTAACCATTTATTTCTCTAGAACTTGTGTGTTCTCTAGAACTTGTGTGTTCTTTTAATTTTGCCCTTACTCTCTCCACTGAGATTGAAAGCTGCCCTCAGGCTGAAGTTAGCTTGAAGTCATATTTTGGTTGATTTGTACAGAGTTAAAGCTTTTAAAAATTTGGTTAACATTTAAATTTTTTTTTTTTTTTTAGCTATACATGGACACAACATCTTTATTTTGTTTATTTATTTTTATGTGGTGCTGATGATCAAACCCAGTGCCTTATATGTGCGAGGCAGGTGCTCTACCACTGAGCCACAGCCCCAGTCCTGGTTAACATTTTTAAATTGGGAAATTTCACACAAAAATCCAGTTTTGGGACTTGTCTTGAAAATCTGAAATTCTGACCCCGTGGGAATGGTGGGCTGGTGTTCCTACATGGTGGCAGTTGGTTGGCGGTCCTGGTGGGGTTTACTCACACACAGCTAGCCCTGTCCAGTTCACCACTTTACTCTAATACACCTAATGAGATTTTCTCATTTGATCTGCCCAGCTCCTATTTCCACTTGAGTTTAAAACTCCCCCTCTTTTAGGTTGGATTGGTTTCAAATATCTTCTGTGCCTATTGGTTTTGAATTTAGCTGAATGCAACTCCAATACTTCATTCAAAAAGGAGTTGTTGTTGTTTTTTTTTTCTCACACAGCAAAGAGTCCAGTGGAGGGCAGAGCAAAGTGTAGTCACTGGAGGATGTCCTGTGTCACCTTAGCTTTCCAGCTTTCCACTCTGCCATCTGGAGCTTGTGACTTTTGTGCTTATGGTTGCAAGGTGGCCGATGTTTGTCTAGGGATCAGATCTGCATTCTAGGCAAGAAGAGAGGGAATAGTTGAAGAGTTTAAAGTGCATGCTAATTAAATTTGCCCTTTCTCACTAGGAAAACAGTAGCCAAAAGCCTCAGGAAGTAGACATCTAGTCGCATTTCACTTGTCAGAACTGAGTTTTACAACTACCCTAACTTTCAAGGGAGTTTTATTAGGTAAGAGTTGTGTTTTTAACCACCACTGTTAAGCCTCAGGGGAGGTGTTTGTTTGTTTGTTTGTTGCAGTACTGGGGATTGAACCTCAGCCTCACACATTCTCGATAAGCACTGTAACCCTGGCCACATCCCCAGCCTGCACATGGGAGTTATTAACTGGACATATTGCTACATCCTAACATTGGAGTTTCTTGGTAAGGGAAGAGTGGCCATTGAGTAGGCAATACAAAACTCATATGACAGTTTTTTAAAATAGAATTTATATGTAGAGTTGGTTTTTTTCCATAGATAAGAAAGGAAAGACTTGTTTTTAGTGGCTTAAAAAATTCACATTCCTCTCTTTAAGTTTTTAAATTTAAAATTGTGTGGAGTTCAGTGAAAGCATTGTATGTTCTGGATTCCAGGATACCTGTTCGAGTTGTCCAGGTAACTCTCTCCTCCACCTTTTCCTCTCTTCCACTACCTCCTTAACCGCAAGTGCTTTCTGCCTACAGGATACTTGTGGCTCCCCCCAGGTAATTAAACTATTCCTCTGCCTTGAGGATGAAAGCTCTCTTGATTAGTTGGTCATTCTATAAACTTCAAAGAACTGTTTAATTTCACTGAAGTACCAGGTAGAGGAGCCCTGTGAATTATTTTAATAGCTCAGAGTTGGAGATGCAGGTAAAGTTCTCAGCATAGTATGTACCAAATGGACCCCCCACCCTATTCCCAAGAAATGGTAAGCAATAAGATAGCTTCTAAGACTCCACCTTTGTGTATGTGGTGGTAGCTGGCGGGGTGGGAGGGACCTGTCACACAAATCAGGC